TTCCTATAGGTAGGGCAATGTCTACTTTTGGTGTAGGTCAAGAATTCTGGAAACCCTCGAAATCAGGGTTAGTCCGCTTGTCCTTAAAAGCGACCATATGGCAGGTGGCCCGAAATGATGCTCGCACCTCCTTTCCCGGAGAAGAAAACAGCGTAGTATGAGATGATAGAATAGTTTAGGGTAGATGTTTGATCGGTGATTCAAAGCCCAGGTCTCACTGCCTGCGTCATCACACGGAAAAAAGGGCAGGCTCAGAGTAGTTCAGGGCTGGGCAATGAGTCGCTTTAGCAAAATCCGGATAATATTATGTTAGTGCACCTCTTCGGGGCCCACGTCCCGGGAGGTGGAAACTGGACAAGGTAGAGGATTGCTGGATTCAACGAAGTGTGGTGTGGCTTTATGCCACTGAGGAGTCACGCTAGCCGTGAAGGAGAACCCGGGTCATCCCGAAAGGTTGCAGGCTAACGGGGCTCTGGTGAAACTGATAGGCCCAGCAAGTCGACAGCGGATTATTTATTGCAAAAATAAAACCCCCAAAAAACTAATGGAAGCGCCTCTTCGGCGACTAAATAAATATGTTATGAACCGCTTCGGCAAGTGGTTTTGAATCACTTCTAAAAACTTCAACAAATTATTGCCCCCACTTCGGCAAGCGGGTCAGGAAAGAGAGTTTAAGAATCTGAATTCGAATGATACTTCATTGAGACTTATCCGGTTATAAGGATAGGTTATCCGGATTTTGCCCACCAGTAGCTCAGAGGCTGTGTTGTCGGTTCCGTAAGCTCAGTGCATGTAAAGTGGATCCAGCCCCACAGCTCCGTGCTGACCTTTCAGAGATCACTCAACGCTACAGAGTACAGCCCAGCCGTTCCTCAGTCCTTTCGTCCTACTGCCGGGAGATGGCAGTCCTAGAGACCTAGAGCTATACGCAGACTCTCTGGGGGTGACTTTCTCAAGACCCTCTAAAAAACCCTCTCTATCTCTTAAATCTCTGAATGTGCATCCTCTTCGGCAAATCTGTCTGTCTGTCTGTCTGTCTGTCTGTCTGTCTGTCTGTCTGTCTGTCTGTCT